ATCCAAGGATGCACCAAACACGCCGATCAAGGTCACGTCAATCAACGCCAGTACAAAATCTCGATATCTAGCAGAATCTAGCACCATCAGAGGTGCCTCCGACGTCCCAGGCGGCTGCGGGCTCGAAGTCAAGTCCCAGTAAGACGTAGTTGCCGGTTTCTGCTTCGTCGTCCTTGAGGCAGATGCCATCCGAACGCGGAACAGACTCCTGGTTAGAATCGCGAAGTCACTGCAGCATGGGCACACTTCGCCGAATCTTCCAAGACTCGAAGCACGCAAGGCTGAACCGCACGCTGGCATTCCCGTTTCCAGAAGTGCGTCGTACTTGCCAGCAACTGCTGGTGGCACTTCGACGGTGCTCACGGGCTTTGGTCTTAAACTCACCGACTCACCGATGTGGTCGTAAGGATCGCAGGATCGCGTCGAAGGGCCGAATTCGGAGGGCGGCCCCGTGCACGAAGGGGTCCAGTGGCTACAGCGCTTGAGCCGAAGCCCAGCCTGAACGTCGCATCCTGGAGGTACGTCAGAATCTGGGCCCTCGGTTTCCTCTTCAGAATCGCTGGAACCTAAACAGCTGTAGGGGTGTGGGGTGCACACGCTATGGCATGCTACTATGACCTGCCGTGAGCCTGTCGGCATCTCTCGGCTAACGTGCTGGTTGAGCAGGGTTCGACGACGCGTTTGCTGGAAGGACTCGAACCTTGACTTCGAGTAAGTATGCGCTTCATGTCTATGCGGATCTGGCTCACCATGGGACCCAGGCCACGTGCCCCAGCTGGAAAGCCGGCAGTCGACGTTGGGCACCTTGGTGCCAACCATGTGAAGCTTTCCCGCCATCTGCACGTCTTCGCTTTGAGAGAGCTCTTTATCCTCAACCTCAACCCTTTCGGTTCCCTATGGATTCCGCGGCTTGCGGCCCCAAACAGAAGTCGGCAGCCAACTCCATCCAGACAAGCCAAATTTATTGGCGACTGTTAATCTCGCACAAGAACCTGCTGCACGGCATGCCGAACTGACATGAGCGAAAATCGAAAGCTTCGCGACTAAGTTTCGAAAACAATCCGATAACTCCAAACCCGATCCAAGACCATGAACTAAAATGACAGAAGCAAGGACCGGGAGCCTAGCACAACTGGACATGCCTAAGGTGTCACAGAGCTGATAGTCGTCCTCCACGCCTCGCGGTAGGGTCTGATGTTTGGGCTTCTGCGGGGCATAGGCAGCCATCGCCCGGGCAACAATACTAGTACACAGATAGAAAAGTCACTGCAAGCTCTTGCTTCGTCTTTAACTGCACACTGCAGGACTCTGTGTCGCTACACTCGTTCCTTTTGTGCTGGGCGGCTATGCTTTACGTTCGTGTTTGCCTCCTCACCCCTGCGACACGCTTCACATTGTGAGAAACAATTAGACAAGCAACCAAGCAAGCAAACCAACCAACACAAGGCGCATACCTCCACACATGCACATACATCTCATGTCCGACAGCTGTTGCGGCGCTCAAGACGCGGATGGTGCAACCTTGCAGCATGCCACTCGCATGACCAGCGAAAATAGACTTAGCCACGAGAGCCCCACCTAAACTCTTCTGAAGTTTGTTGCGTAGGAGCAACGGTCAATCCCAAAGCTCAGAGCACACCTGCACGGAGCTACTTGTTCAATTCTCGTTGCGCCGTGTGGCGCTTGCCATGGCTCAAGCCCCGTGGGGCAAAACTTACGTCAGCTCTTGGGAGGTCGAGTCCCTCAAAAGACAGCTCGCCTGTGGCGGGCTTACCGCAGCTGTTGGGGTGCTGCTCGACGTTGCGGTGCCGCACCCTGGCAGAAAGCTGAAGTACAACGCCAAGCTCTGCTGCAAGTTGCTACAGTGACATCAATGACACACTTCCAGCCCATGCCAAACCCTAAGAAGCATTTTTTTCGGACGGGCAAGATATGGTATGCGGTCTCGAGACCCGAAAAAATGATGCCTTCGCAAATCATGGAACCGCTGCATTTGTCAAGCATGCGGTCAAAGCTCATCTGCGGAGAAGACATGGGCCAATGACAATTTCAGCAGGCTTTAAGCATGCGGCCGGAAAAGGATTGAAGCACAACTTTGCATGTGTGCCCCCCTCGCCTTGGAAATCTCCGCTCACTGTACAGGGGGGCAGACATATTCATGCAGACAGGAGAAAATTATAAATATGTATATATACATATATGTATGTATGTATGTATGTATGTATGTATGTATATATATATATATATACATGTGTACATGTATGCATGTACGGCATAACGAAACGAAACACAATATCTATAAGGTCATGAAATACAACATATAGAGTGACATAAGATCAGGCCAAATAAGATGAGATAGATAAGACAAGACAGTACAACATAATATAACCCAGCCTTATAATGCGCCATGATAGCACCCTGTGGCCGGATTGGCTGAGCGAACACGTCAGCTGGCGAACAACACCCCTCTGGTCTGTGCTTAGCTTTGTAAAAGTCACGATGTCCCTGGAGGTGGCTTCGACCATCTGCAGGAAGTTGGAATCTGTTGGGACAAGTGTGGTGGAAGGCCTGGTTGACTAGGCAAGTCAGGTTAGGGTCCTTGGATGAGAATGCAAACCAGCCTTCGCACAAAAGCGAACAATTGTTCCGTTGCATTTGCACGGTATACACTCTTTCTGCAATGTCTTCCATGAAAACATTTCAACAAGCTTTAATCATCTCTGATCCGTGCGACTTACGTGCAAGAATGCGAACGAATCAATCTGCAACAACCATTGCTAACAAGAGTGCAACGCCTGACGGCTTACTGTGTCGTGCAGAACGCACAACACTCCACTTGCAGAGATCGCGCGCGTTCGAAGCAACGCGAGCTAAGTATGCGTCAGCAGGCAGGACGGTTGAAATGAGACAGCCGGACAATGCCAAGAGCCCAATGTCTGTATACTTTCTCTCTCTCTTTCGATCGATTATGCTATATGTTTTACAGATGGGGCTACAGGACAGATCTTCGTCCGGAATCCAGCTTCAAAGCGTGATGTCTCTGATTGAATTTTGAAACCGGCCCTCTTGGAGCAGGTCGGGCGCAGAACGGCCTCAACCCTCAGAATCATAAGAAGCTGTTAATGATTAGGTTGGCATAAATCCTAGTTATATGTATGAGGGCTAGGCAGGACCAGCACGAAAATTGAGAATTCTGCATCAGCTGATGGAGCAGCATCCGTCATCGCCACCAAGCACGTTCTTTCGCAACCAGTCGTTCTCGATGGTACATGTGGCCGTGGGCCGGCTGCACTCTAGGCTCAAGAGACCTTGTGCCATTTCCAGAGCACCAGGGCCAAGGCGATTCCAGTAAGCATTGGACTTCAGGGTGAGGGGGGTCTCTGCCAGCACCTGGTCGTAGTGCTGCTCATGAGTCGGGGTGAGAGGCCACAACCGCTTGCCTGTGGCAAGCTGGTAGAACACTATTCCCACACTCCAGAGGTCGCAAAGCTCGGTGTAGCCACCTCGAACGACTTCAGGCGCCATGTAGCCCGGGGAGCCGCATCGCTGGGTCATCAGCTCTCCTTTCTGAAACTCCGTCGCCATACCGAAGTCTGCAAGCTTCAGCTGCGGACATGGGCCAGCATTCAGCAAGAGAAGGTTCTCCGGCTTGATGTCACGATGCACGAACCCACTCCCATGGAGGTATTTAAGGGCATCAAGAATCTGCCAAATGCAGTTTGCCAGAACACGCTTAGGTGGAGCTGTGTAGACCTGCGCATGGAAGTGCTCGTCGCAACGATCTGCGATCCAGCTTTGCAGGGTCCCCCCGCTGCAGAGCTCCATGATAATGTACAGCATCCCATCATGCTCCAGTGAATCGTGCAGATGCACGATGTTTCCGTGGCGCAGGGATGCCAGGAGCTGTACTTCGTCTTCGCTCTGCTTGCTGGATGCCACGACCTTGACCGCAAACCTTTCCTTGGTTCCTTTTCGAACGACTTCTTGAACTAGTCCAAATTTGCCCTGGCCCAACACTTTTTTGACCTTGTAGTCCTCCTCCAGAGCAGTCGTTAAGGTCTCCACGGATGTATCCGGGGATGCAGTCGAAAAATCTTCGGAGTCCTCAGCGATTTTCTCGAGGGAGGCGGTCACGCAAACTTGGGCCATGGCCTTAAGTTTCACTTCGGCTAGAAGGCGACCCTTGAGCCGATACCAACTCGCGCACTGGCACAATAATTAAGGAAGGACATGCAGGATTATTCCCCGAGCCGACAAGGGAAGGCACATAACTTCGCCTCGGCTCTTCACGTCACACATTCCCCAAGAAAATCTTAGGAGCTGCTTGCAGGCACCATGAAGCTTCGTGAAGGGTTCTGCCTGTAGGCTGGAAGACAGTGGCTGGAACACTGGCCCCATTGACCTCAGAAGGAGAGCTGAAGCGGAAAGCTTGGATCTGCACTTGACAGGGCTGTGCTTTCTCACACGCATTGCCATGCCTGTCTAGAGAGCTTCATGTATAATCTGCCGACGCAGTGGCCCCACATGCTCCACTGGCCATCGATGCACTCGTCACAGCTCTGCGTGTTGCAGGGCGAGACCTGTGGTCTCGGCTTTGCTTCGGGCCCAGTTGCGGCAGTTTGGGAGTCTTGGAACTGGAATCTCCCAGTTAAAGCATGCACAGGTCTTCCATCGCTACGAAGTCTTCAACGATAGCTGATGAAACATGAATGTGAACAGAGATCAATCCCAAGATACCTGCGATGGAGACACAAGTCAACACCGCCCTTGGGCCAAGCTTCAAAGCTCCAATACTCCAGGTTTGAGGCAGTTTTGGGGATCTTCTCCCGGCGCCTCATACTTGTCGTGGGCCGCACAGAGGCGACCTCCGTTCCGTGGAGAAACCTCACGGCCGCGGCTTTTGCTTTTGCTGGGCTTCTGGTATGAAGATTTGTTTAGGCTTTAGATCTATGGCTATGGGGGCTGGGGGTGGCAGTGCATGGTTGCCAGGCATGGCATTGTCCCAGTCCGTGCATGTGGATGTAATAGCTCGGCCGGTGGTGCTGCTTCGCCCCAGATCTGCACAACCCGCATTCCCTAAACCCCCAAAGCTTTAAACCTCAATCCACTATCTTGTGACTACCTGCAATTCGACAAGGCAAAGCGCAGGCTTTCTGGATGAATGACAAGGCTTCGCAAGTGAGAGCCTCAAGGTCAGGGCTCAACCGTTTTGTCCGGGATCCCCGGCTGCGATTACACGATTCCGGCGCTTGATGCCACCGCCGCAGGTACAAGTGCAAGCGCTCCAATCCTCCCACCTGAGGCGGGATGGTTCAGGGTGCTAAGTGCTTTTGCGGCTTTCGCTTGGGAGTGTAATGTAGTGCATTGAAGACTTTTGGACTTGCATGTTGTCGATTGTGGTTAGCCTTTTTCGATTTGGCAGGGTAGAAGCTAATGCTTGAGAATGAGGGTAGAAGGTAGAAGAGGCAAGGCGGGGGCCACACGCATTCGTCACAACCCATCACGAGAAGTCAAAGTCCGCCTCGACCCAGCCCTAACACACAGGAACCGCCCGTCAGCCTATCAGGAGTCTGGGGGTCTGGCGTGCCCCACACGCAGTCGATGCCTTCACACTGCCTGTCCTCGCAGGCCTTGACCTGCAAAGAGGCCAGACTGAACAGCTGTACCCTGGGGCCCGAACCTTGAACCCCGCTCTTCCGGAACGGTGCAGGGGTGATGTGATGTTCTGCCTGGTAGTGTGAACGATGATAGGCTGGGACCCGTCATGCCGCAGAGGAATGCATATAGCATCTAGCGACTGCGTGAGCTCTGACCTCAGTCTCAACTGGGGTTTTGAACCGTTTCCGGCCCCAGCAAGCTTCACGGGGTTCTCGGTTCCCAGTTGCAGCTGTCCGTCCGATGAGTCAGATGCGTCTGCCTCTAAGCTTGCGGGTTAGATACCGCAGGATTGAGCCTCTCGGCAGAGCCCGCCTCCTCCAGGGCCGTATTGCAGCCGAGCGTGTCTCCGATCTCCAAGATCTGACATCATATCATCATGAGCTTTCCGGGGATCTGAGCAGTTCCGACACGGGCTTCGGAACCCTGTCTCGATCTCTTCATGTTTCCTGAAAGTATTTACCTGCCGCTGGCGCCTTCCTGCTGCGCTGAGTCGCCCCAATGCCGCACTCCTTGGTGATTGAAATGGTGTCGAAGATTCAGTCTGCGAGACAAGAGGCTCTCGCTCCCGGGCTCACCAAGAACCCCAATCTGCACACTCCATAGGCGGGGAAGGATGCGGCTTGTGGTGTGGCAATGGGGGGCAGCAGAAGAGCAGCTTCAGGGGGCGGCGGTGGTGGTTCCTGGCTCATGGTGGTGTTCCTTTTTCTGTTTAGGGTGATCTGCTTCTCTGACCCTCTTGCAAAGTTCTCAGCGGTCCGCAGATGTGCACGGCGACCATTCCGTCCACAGTGACCTCAGAAGGGCGCGTGCACTGGTGCTTAGGATGCAGTTGTGGGTCCAGCTTCTGCGAATTTGGACAGAGCTCAGATGGATTTCCCTTGCCTGGCCTCGTGGCTTGAAAAGTCGAGCTTGTGCAGGTTTGTGTCGCAGACATGCAACGCTGAGTAATGCCGGCTATGCCCATACCCGATCTCTAGCGTTCGTGTTCGAAGTGCCCAGGCCTAGTTGCGCAACCCCCCCGCTCGTGAGACGACTTCCAAGACCCTTCACTCCAACCCCTAAGCTGTCTTCGCAACAATCAATAAAACCTTATCCCCCGTTTCGTAAGGATCCCGCAGCCGACAGCTCCCATGGTTGCATTCGCGATGGCCTCGGGCCAAGTTGCACTTTCTCGGGCTCTGGAATGGTGCGGACTTGTTTGAGGTTTGGGAGGGAAGACTTCGGGGATTCGGGTGACGAAGCCGGGTTTGCAGCACATGCTACAGCTACAAGCTGTCTCAGGTATATTCAATGCTGACTGCTCGAATAGCTCCGGACCCGGATTGTCCGATCGCCTGGGCCCGAGGACAGGATGTGGACCCGCTGGATCCAAGTCTCCGGCCGCATCCCTCCGTCTCGCTGAGGATGGCTCCTTGATCTGGCTCCATTCACTCGGTTTCAAGAGATTAGTCGCTTTTGTCGAAGACTGAAGACGACCAGTGCGAAAGACCCTGTAGCCGAACAGGAGAATCACTCACCGCTGCGTGAAGCCACTCTTTACACCTGAATGAGGGGCATTGCGGGGACAGGCCTACACGGCTTGCTTGGCCGCCGAGGACGCAGAGGCCTTCACCGAGAATGCTCCTGAGCACAGGGCAAACGGGGCCTACTTCTGACGAAGGGGGCAAAAGTGCAACTGCAGATCACAAGCGCCGCGATTGCCTTCGGCTCGACTTCTTTCGAGCATCACGGGAGATGCCGGTAGTGAAACATCAGCAGCAGAGGGTCATAAGCCTTCTTCTTCGGAGCTCGGCTTGGCAGCGGTTGCCAGCCAATCCATCAGAACAGGGTGAGTTCTGTTGTTACAACTGGCCGACGGAGCCAGCACCAGAGCGAAAAGCAGTTGCTGCCGCACCGGGTGTCCCATCAACTCTACCTGAACTCCTCATCACGGGAAACCCGCTCGCCCTGTGACATGTCCTTCGCCATGTACTTCACTGCCTCCCTCGACTCCTGTATAGCATTTCACAGACCAATCTCTCAGAGGTTCAACAGCGTGATGACCATCGTTGATCCATTTGCAGGAATGGACCAATACTGCAGATGGATAGACATCCACCCATTTGCAGAACGGGACCATTACTGCAAATGGACCAACGATGATGTCATCACGCTGTGGAACTACCGAGAGTTCGTGCTTATGCTGATTGGGTTGACCTTGCCATACCGCCGGCATTTGCGTCGGAGCTAGCTCCGAAGCCTTCGCTCTGCGGAGGTCATCTGTTGCACATCCTCAAAGGATGCGACGGGCTCTGACGGCAGTGCAAAAGCAGAGACGTGCACTCGGCCCTGCCTCAGAAAGATGGCTCTGTCGTAGCGCCAAGGCGGCACAGGAGATTGACCCTCTGGACCATCAGTCGAGGAGTCGTAGATAGATGAGGCATCAAAGAGCTCATTCTCCTCGGCGGGAATC